ACAGCTCCAGCTGGGCTGGCTACCTGCCATAGATGACTGAGTCCCTATTCGAGTTCCTCAGATTCCCAGACTCATGGGTGATGCCTGAGATGAGGCAACCAAAACACAAACTTTTCCAGTAAACCGTATTCACTGAAGCTGTTTTGTTTATTTATTTTGTTTTTTGAGAATGGGTTTCTCAATGTAGCTCTGGCTATCAGGGAACTTGCTCTGTAGACCAGGCTGGCCTCAAACTCACAGAGATCTGCTTGCCTCTGCCTCCTGAGTGCTGGGATTAAAGGCATGTGCCACCACTGGACTGTGTTTGCCTCTTAAGTGTTGGTTATTTTATTTGTTTGTTCATTTTGTATGTGTGCTCATGTGGGTGTTCATGTGGAGGCCACAAATAAACTTTGGGATTTTTTCCTCAGGTGCTATCTACCCTGCTGTGTGTGTATGAGTGCGTGTGTGTGGTGTATGTGAGTTATGCATGTTTGTGTTTGTACACATGTATGTGTGTGTGTGTGTGTGTGTGTGTGTGTGCATGCATGAGGAGGCATGAGGTTGACATTAGGAATCACCTCAACCACTCTTCCAAATTCTTCATTGAGGCCGGGGCTCTCAGCCAAACCCAGAGTTTACCAACAAGCCTAGTCCTGCTGCCAGTTTGCTCGGAGGCTCTCCTTCGTCCCGGCCTCCTAAGACTGGAATTACTGACAGCCACCATGCTTGCCCACATTTACATGGGGTTCTGGGATCTGAACCCTGGTCCTCAAGCTTGTTCTACAAATGCTGTTAACTATTCAGCCACCTCCCAGCTCTCTGCTTTTTAATTTATTTAGTGTGTATGTGTGTGTGTGTGTGTGTGTGTGTGTGTGTGTGTGTGTACACATGTGCTGTGGAGGTCAGAGGATGACTTTCCACTCTGATCTCTCCTTCCACTGTGAATTCTAGGGACTGAACTCAGGTCCTCATATTTGTGTGGTTAGTACCGCTAAGCTGTCTCCATCTTCTTCCCAGTGCTGGGTTTATAGTCAGGGCTTGGAGAAGAAGTGCTCCCTGGAGCACTGAAAGACCTCAGTAAACTCATTTGCTGGGACTATGTTTGCCCAGCCCCCCACCCTTGCACTCACCATGGCGAAGCCAGAGAGCAGGGCGGAGGTCCGGCTGGAGGCTTTTAGCTTGGCCCTGCTCAGGTACAGCTTTCTCCAGGACAGGGCCTGCACTGAGTGGTGGTTGGAAGTGACCAGTTCCAGGTAGCTTCGTCGGACCCAGTCTCGGTAATCCATGCCCTTGTGGCCCGGTTCGGGGCAGGCAGGGGTGGAAGGGTCCATGGGCACGTTGAGCTCTGCACTCATGGTGGGAACCAGGCTGGGGGAGGGAGAGAGACAACATGTTGGAGCATCGTAGATGATTCTTGTGCAAAAACCAGGGTCTGAGGCCTTTGGTGGTCTTTGTTTTTTTTAATGTGTATTACCATGCCTTTATGTGTGTGCCTGTGTGAGTGTGTGTGCCTGTGTGTGGTGGCACATGTGCCTGTACACGTGTGGAGGCCAGAAGAGGGCACGGGGTGTCCTTCTCTATCACTCTGCCTATTCTTTGGAGGGTCTCTTTTTGAATTAAGGGTTCACCTTCTCCTGCTAAGCTGGAACCCGGCAATCACCAGTGTTCCTTCTGGCTCTGCCCTCCTCAAAGCTGTGGTCACAGACACATACAGGATGCCCAGCTTGTTAGGTCGGTGCTGGGATCTGAACTCCACTCCTCATGATTGAGCAGCAAGCATTCTTAATGGCTGGGACCTCTCACCAGCCCCATGCTTTGTTTTTAATTGTATCTACCTTTTTAAGGGGAAAAAAGAGGTTTATTCATTAGCTGGGTGTTGGTGGCACACACCTTTATACTCCCAGCACTCGGGAGGCAGAGGCAGGTGGATCACAGAGTTCGAGGCCAGCCTGGTCTATAGAGCTAGTTCTAGTATAGCCAGGGCTACACAGAGAAACCATATCTCAACAAAACAAAACAAAACAAAACAAAACAAAAAACAAAAATCCAAGCCTACAAACCTACAAGTGTGTGCATATGTGTGCTTGTGTATTTATTAGTGTGTGTACAAGCAAATTTGAGTAGTACATGCATACGAAAGCCAGGATTGACACTGGGTGTCTTCAATTACTTTTTTTTTTGGGGGGGGGGGGAGGCCCACTTACTGTATCTAGAGTTCACCAGTGTGGCTAAAGTGGCTGTCCACCTGGCCTGGGGACCCCCTGCCTCCACCTCCCCAGCACAGGGTTACAGTGCATGCTGCCTTGCACAGCTTTACATGGGTGAACTAGACTCGGGCACTCATGCTTACATGGCAAGCACTGTGTGACTGAGCCATGTCCCCAGCCCAGCGCTCTATTATAAGATAATGACTCGCTATGTAGGCTAGGCTAGCCCCAGACTCACGGTCCTGTCTCAGCATTTTGAGTGCGGAATCCTAGGTCCACAGCACTGTGCTTGGCTTTCAAGTCCAAATGTAGAGGCATGAGGTCTAAAGGTAGCTTGGGTGTGGGGTCTCTAAGGCAGTCTGCAAGATAGAACACAGGGCCCTCTGCACAAGACAAGGGTCAGCATGCAATGGCCAAGCTGTTGCTCTGTAAAGCTGATCCACCTCTTTCCTGATACTCAGGAGAGCAACTATTTGTGTGACTAGAATTCAGAGTTTGGCAGAAAGCGCCCTCTGACTCCCCTGACTGGCACTGTGTTCAAGGACCGGGGAACTGTCACAGTCAGAAAGAGCCAGGGGTGGCGGTGGGGAAGGGGCTCTGTGGTAGACTGCAGCCCAGAATCCACATGGATT